TGGAAACCCCAAAAACCCATTTTAAATTTGCAAGAAAAAGGAAAGATACCAAACCCCAACACCATACAGAAATTGAACATGGAAGAAAAAAGAGTGTGAGCAGGAAGGAATTTGTAGTTATTCACTCGTGCCCATGTGCTACATGCAGCAATCGGCATCCCAAAATTTGGCCAACTTGTCCATAGATTATGAGTGTGAAGAATCTATGACGCATATTCCTTTCCTGGTTCCACTCCATCATGCATCAACTCAAAACATTTTACTACGAGTGCATGTTTACACATTAAAAAAAAAGGGTTTATGAGCCCCAGCGCTGTAAGTCCACACCTACTAGAATGGATTGAAGATTGGGCGAGGACAGTCATCATTCATGCATTTAAAATTATCATAAATTTTAATTTCTTTTTATATATTTTTTATTGAAAATATATTTTCGTTCACTATGTAATTTTATAAATCCAAATTTACATCCTCTAAATTTAAATTCGTCATTCTAATATAATATCCTACGTACGTATTTGTGCACACTTGTGTAGAATAGATTCTTCGACACCAGACCCAATTTTGACCTATTGAAACAGCTGCCCCCTAATTATTGGACTGACCTGCTGTATAGTTCCATAAACTAGTGAAGATATGGAACACAAATAATTATCCGAGATCGAATGAAAAAAATAAAATACATTTTGCTGTTGTTTTGATTACCTTTAGTATTTATAACAGATTCAACCACTTTTTTGATGTCGTTTTTTTTCATTTAAAATGTTATCATTAGAGTTTTAATTTTTGCTTGACGTAATTATCAAAATTAGCCCTTAGCATTCATTAAAATGATCATGTTAGTCTCTAGTATTTTCATCCTCATATTTTATTTTAGGTTAAAAATTTATAATGTTTGATTAAATAGAATGAATCAAGTAACGACCTCAGTGGTAAAAGAATTGTTGTTATTCTTTGAGATTCCGAGTTTGAATACCAAAAATACTAAGGGTGTGAGCATTTAATATCAAATAATTTTAGCATTTATTAACTAATGATTTTCATCCCTAAATAGAACTTTTAATCTCAAAATAAAACATTAAGAGATTCAAATAATGAAAGAATACTTTAAAATAATTATTTAGTCAAAAAATAATAACTTTTTGTAGGTAAAAAGGTAATTTTTGTCAATGTAGTAAATTTAATTTATCATTTTCATTTCTATCGTATTTTTACATTAATTTAACATTCATAATTCCTTAATTACATTATTGCATACCCTATTCTAACTCAAAACCCTAAACCCTAAATCATAAACTATAAACTATAAACCCTAACTTATGATCTATAATTTAAGATTCTAAATTAAAAGTATTTTTTAATAACAATAGATAATTACTTTTATCCAGCCGACGTTTATTTCAATGGCGAGGAGGCGTCTACTGACGACGTGAGAGAGGCGTCCTTCAGGCACGTGGCTAAGTTTGTGTGAAGGTTTGTTTGGTTGGGAGATTATTATTATCACAGTGGCCGAACTAAAGAAAGGAAATAGATAACCCTATAACCAAACATACACCTCAAAACCCTAATCCGCAACATTCCCACATATATAACTAAATAACTTGTAAACGGGAAGGGCCGAGTGGGACAAAGAGAGAAGCGGAGGTTGTGAAAATGCAGATCTTCGTGAAAACCCTAACGGGTAAGACCATTACCCTGGAGGTCGAATCCAGCGACACTATCGACAATGTTAAGGCTAAGATTCAGGATAAGGAAGGTATTCGCATCTCTTTTCCTTGTATTTTTTTTTGCTTCCTATCTCTGCTTTAGGAGTGAAATTTGTTGATCGGGTGGATTCGATGTCTTATATTTTCCGGTTAAAATTTCGTCAGGTATCCCGCCTGACCAGCAGAGGTTGATCTTCGCCGGAAAGCAGCTCGAGGATGGCCGTACTCTTGCTGACTACAATATTCAGAAAGGTACATATTGGTTGTTATTGGCCCTGATTTGATTCTCGAGAAAATTTAACTCAATTTTAGACAGAATATATTAAAAGTATTTTGATTTATTTTGTTCCAGAACTTTGACTCAAAATGGTGGATATTTTTAGATATTGTATACCTGTTGAGAAAGCGATAGAAGTAGCTGAATAGGATTCTATAGCAGTCAGTAGAACTATATTAGCAGTATTTAGACGATTTTATAGGATCTGTGTAATGAGAAAAAATGGTTTCATGTTTGGGATGGAAATTGGGGTGTTGAATTGAAAGCCCGAGCTCCCCCTTCCTATATCTGACGTTTATTGTAGTTTTGTCTTTATCCCGATGCTTGAAGTGAATGTTCGAATGGAATTTTGTAGAGTCAACCTTGCATCTTGTTCTGAGGCTTCGTGGTGGCATTATCGAGCCTTCTTTGATGGCATTGGCTAGGAAATACAATCAGGACAAGATGATCTGCCGCAAGTATGTGTACATACACCTTTCTCTTGCCCATAATTTTAATTGTTTATAATCTCAATTTACGAAGTTCATTCAAAGTGAATTTTTCATTGGCATACCATCGTTTATATCTTATTCATACATCTAGTTAAGAATTTCCCTCTGCATCCTGCCTATTAGTGGTGAATTTAGAAATTAGTTTTGGGGGAAATAACCCTTTTTATTAATTTTGCAAACTGATCATATTTTGTTATTGTTCTCATGACTACATATATACGACATATATCTTTTGAGTCTCCTTTCTTGGGAAAGATTTAAATTTTTTAAACTAGCACACATGTTTAAGCCAAAGAAAGAAAAAACATTCTTCATTAAATACCGTATAAAATAGAAAACGTGAAAAGATTTAAAAGCTTATATATATATATATATTCCAGTAAAAGTTGATAATTTGGAATGTTAGTGGAATAAGATAACTACAAGGGCAACAAAGTTATGTGAAAGTATGCATTTCTAAAATGAAAAGACATAAAAATACAATCATATATTTTTTGACTTGTAAGTCATAAATTTTGAGCTGCTAATGTAATTTAATTTAGTTTAACATATACATATATATATATATATATATATATAATTGTTTATGTTTTATTAACTTTAAAATGTCAAGTCTTCTGCCGATTCTATGTGGGCAGAACAATACCATATCACTGCGTATAAAATTACATTTTCTTTATAAAATGGGGCTTGCGTTTAGTGCATAAATCTTTTCCGAACTTCCGTACTGAAAATGTGCTGATGAATGGAGTGATATCCATGTTGTAGGTGTTATGCTCGTCTGCACCCACGTGCTGTGAACTGCAGGAAAAAGAAGTGTGGTCACAGCAATCAGGTAAACCATCAGTTTCCGTCCTATTATTTCATTTTTGTGAGCCGCCACTCTATAAGACTTCGTCTTGTAGAACTCATTGGTGCTTGTGCTCTTTCGTTGCATCCGATTGACATTCACTATTTCTTGGTAACGACAGTTGAGGCCAAAGAAGAAGATCAAGTAGATGCCAATGTTGAGGGAGGAAATTCTGCTTTTACTGTTAGATTCCTGGGTTTTTTTTAGGACGGCACAGTTCTGAAAACAAGAGATCATGACTATCTTAAAGTTGGCTTTAAGTTGAGCTTGAAACTCGTGTTTGTGATTCTGTTTGACATTTGATAATGAATTGTTGGTTTTTGATACGATGATGGTGTATTTTCTATGTTTTGATGCTCTCTGTTGCTGTGTAAACAAAACACTCTTAGGTTAATGCTCAGTTAAACGTCTTGTTCAGACTATCGTCAAATTTTTAATATGAAATGAAAAAAAAATTGGAACATATGAATGGTTAGATAATCGTTTACTTAATAAAACAATGTTTTATAGTTAACTTTTAATAGTTGAAGTCATCCTATATTTGAAAAAAAGATTTTAGATTTTATCACTTATTCAAATAAACTATTTTGAGGATAAAATAAATAAACATATTTTCTATTTTCCATATTATTTTATAATATATATATTTTAATATCTATTTTAACCTCTACTATCACATATTATTTTCAAGTCATATTATTTTGAAGTAAATAATGCTGTTTTTAATAAGTGATCATTTTAATCTCTATTTTTCATACTATTTTATAAAAATATTTAATAAAAATAGTTTCTATTTGCCATATCATTTTCTTATTTCTTTCCCTAGGTTATGGCTCACATCTCTTAAATAATCTAAAGATTAGAATATAATTTTTTAATAGTTTTAAGTATATTTGGCCGGGTTGGTCAAATTATTCATTTTTGTATCATGTTTCCTAAAGTCATAGGTTTTAGACCTACTAAGAAAAAGAAAGATCTAGAACCTATGACCTAAAAGAATATGAAAAAACAAAGACATAGTTTAACCAACAGACCAAATGTGCTTGCTCGCTAAATATATATTTTTAAATGATTCAATCAAATGATTCTCATTTTTTTCTATTAATTTTTGGATAAACTACACGTTTAGTACCTAAACTATCAAACTTTCAATTTTTCAAAATCATACCCAATATTTAGATTTTGTTTCATTTTAGTACCCAACCGTTAAAAACTTAACGCGTTTAGTACCTAAATTATCGGTTTTGATTTATTTTAGTACCTGAATTTTTTTTTTCAAAACTTAACATTAATTTTTTAACAGATACTAAAATGAAACAAAAATTAAACTTTAGTTATAGTTTCGAAAAAAATGAAAGTTAAAATACTAAAACATATTAAAACTGATAGTTTAGGTACTAAAAACATAGTTTACCAAAAAATCCAACGGCTTGATCACCGTTGAGACAACTCCAATGACGCAGCCTAACTGACTAAAGAAGGTCCTGCCATCATTTGAGCTCAACCTTGCGAAGAATGAGAATACTGCTTTCACAGAGTATGTAGGACAACTGCAGCAGAGCATTATCCTGTATAAGAAAATAATGGAACTTTGAAACGATTATTTTAATCACTAATAGCAAATATATTGCCGAGATTCAACCAAAGAGAAGACAAAAGAACCAAAGTTAGCCCCTACACATGTATGCGCCTACCAAAATAAAAACAGATCATTAGAGGCAGACAAGTATTGGAACGGCTCTACAAAATATGAAAACCAGGGTATTAGCATTAGCCATGTTTACATCGTTTATGCCCCTCATGTTCTGTCTAGCGCTGGCCGTACGCCGAGTTTCTGAAGCCTTCGCCTGCACCGTCTTCCGAGCTATCTTGTCTGTTCCCTTGAATGTTCATGAAATTGTTACCGATCCCAGCTTGCACCCCATGATATGTGCCACCGGGGGCAGCGGATCGTAACCCCACTTGTGGCTGGTTCAGTTGCTGCTGTTGGAGATACATCGTCTGCTCAGGTTGCTGCTGCTGCTGCTGCTGATCATTCAAATGGTAAGGCAACTTTGGAGCTAAGAAACCTGAATGCTGCTTAGCCATTACAGCTTGTGAAGACTGAACATGTTGCTCTTGCTGCATCGCGGGTTGTTGAGGCATCTGCAACATTCCACAAATGAGTTCAAATAAAATGCATATTGGCTTATCCAAATATATTAAACCAAAGAAAGCTCCAAGACACAACCTGGGAAGATGCCGATCCCTGTGGCTGTGCATCAGCAATTTTAGCTAGATACATTAGATTCTGCTGCAGTCTTGCTTGATACCTGAATCATTTTTTAAAAAATGAGAACAGACATACTGATTAACCGACTGCATTACTCACACAGACTTAAATACACAGATCTACCCTAGTTCTTCCACCATGGTGGTCACTGTTCTTCAGTTCCTTCAATTATAGGCAAACCAATGGTAAACAATCATTCATCTCATCTTTAAAATACAGATGACCAAGTGTTAATGGCCATGTATATGTCGTTTTCAAGTTTTTTCCCCATCAACTTTTAAATGCATCTTTGATAACACAAAAAGAAAGCCTACAAGTTGGGCACTAAACTAGCACTAAATTGCACATGCAACTTAAAAACTTAATTACCCAAGAATAATGTTTCTGGTGAAGAACTCGATCTCAAAGATTCGCCAACCAATAGGAGGCCTAGTAAATTCACAAACTTTCCCTAGCAGTTAAAGGTAAAATGAAAGAAACACGGGAGAAACTGTGAAGCACAAAAAAGGGCCTATAACAACTGGTATAATGCTGTAAGTAATGGATGAATGAAAATGATCTAGCCATTGTCTCGACAACAAAACTGGACAGCAAAGGGTCTATAACAATTGGTATAATGCAGTAATGGATGAATGAAATTGGTCTAAACATTCGACTTGACACCAAAAACTGGACAGAAAAGGGCCTATAACAATTGGTATGATGCTGTAAGTAATGGATGAATGAAATTGGTCTAAACATTCGGCTCGACGACAAAAACCGGACAGCAAAGGGCCTATAACAATTGGTATAATGCAGTAATTAATGGATGAAAGAAATTGGTCTAAACATTCGGCTCGACAACAAAAACTGGACAGCAAAGAGCCTACAACAATTGGCATAATGCCGTGAGTAAAGAATAAGAGGAACGATGTTCAAAAAGGGTGACTCACGAGGTACTCTCAGCCATCTTTCCCTGGTTTTGGTTCTCCATTATGGCCATAATCAACTCCTTATTCTCGTCCAGGTACTACAAGAAACATGATCCATTATCGTATCAATATTCACATAAATTACATACAATTTTTTTCCCAACAAACAAAGAGAAAACTTCGAAAATCAACAAGGGTTCACAGTTATTTTAACCAGTGCAACTAAGAAAACAAATGACATGATTGTGAAACTGTGGTAAATATGATCAAGAACGCCAATAATCCAAAAGAATCTTAATTTGATAACAAATGGTACATAGAGAAAACAATGCATGCAAAACCCATCAATAGAAACACATTAGATATAAAGAAAGGTCAATGCTGTAAAGAACAAAAAACCTTTTGAATCTGCTCAGTGGTGATGTTCATCAACTGTGGTGGCTGCTGCATATTTTCCTCTTCAGAATCGCTCACGAACAGGAAAAAGAAGAAGAAAGGAAAGGAACCCAGACCCTAAGTTTTCTTTGAAACGGAGGAAGTGGGGGCAAAGTGGGCTGTTTTGCTCTACACTGAAACGTGTAAATATTGCACTCTCCTTTATATACAATGGCTTGCAGCCTCTAATCAACAAGTCACAGACTAATTTTTAACCCCCAAGAGAAAAAAAAAAGTTTTTGATTAATCTTGTGACTAACGTTTCTAACCTTATATTCGAACCGTCAGCTGTATTAATTTTTTTTATTAAATAATACATATTATGATATAATGATTTTAAATTTTTTATTTAAAATTATATATATATATTTTTAAAAAGAAAAAGCAAATTTTGAAATAACTTTAAAACTTTGAAAACATTTATTTCAACTCCTAAATCCACACCACCGTCGACCTTTTCTATCGAAAAAACTCACCCAACTTACATCCTTCGATGACAAAAACCCCTATAAAATTGTGTCTGATCGATGACGAATTGACGTTTTATATCTCGTGAATCCTAGGATAAAAATCGCGATCATATGCGATTTCAACAGCTAATAGGCAACAACTACGACGACATATGATTAAGAGTATGGTGAAAACTACGTCAGCGGTGGTGATCGTGGTCGGAAAGGGCGACGACGGCAAGTTAAGATTAGGATTTGAGGATTTTAGAGTTTTTTTATAATTTAAGAGAAATTAATTTTTTATAAGTATAATAATATTTTTAAAAAAATTCAATTTCAAATTATTAGATTGTGATACATGTTATTTAACATAAAACATTATTTTCGTTGGTGGTACAGTCATCTAAATTGATATCGTTTATAACTTTTGACACTTGAATGGATAAAAAAACTTTAAATACCTATTCGAGAAAAAAATATATAGTTTGAGCAGTTAATTTTGGTATTAATCCTTTTTTAAAAGCAAAAATATAGACTAACAAGAGGAAGAAGAGAAAGGAAGGAGCAACATCAAAGATGAGGTACTTGTTGAGGGTGAGATTGGCTTCATTCTTCACGGGGGCAGCAACGGCGTCGTTTCTGGGATTCTACGTCCTCTACAAGGATTACAAGGTTGCCCATGAATCCATCACCCAACAGGTACTCCGTACTTCCCCTTTCCCCCTTTTTTCTTTCATAGCAGCTGCCCTACCTTTCGATTTCTTATGTAAATCATGGATTAATTTCTGGGTATTCGGATTTATGCTCATCTGTAAACGTTTTTGAAGGCATGCGAATGCTTGGGAAACTGATTTCCTTTGTAAACGAATATGTCGGTTGTTCTGGCATAAAGGGATAGCCTGTTTCAGATCTCTGTTAGATTGAATTTCATGGTCTGAATTAACCCAATCGTAGCAGGCTTATGTTGTTTGGTAAGGGAAGAGAAAAATGATATCTTGGGTTTAAAGGTTCGATTTTCATGCATAAGGGCTTTGACAAGGCAAATCCTAGTAAAATGATCCTATTACTCGATACTCACATTTAGACTCTCATTCCAATGAGTCTCCACTTCCTCTTGTGACCTGAAATAGATTAACTGAATGTTCATAGGCTAGTGATTTATGGTGAATTACCTATGTTCTACTGAACAGGATACTAAAAAAATGAATAGTTTCCTGTTTGTTGGTTGAACTGGTTCAGTGTCTTTAGCTATGCTGTGTGCTTATATTTCATATTTTCCCCTTTGTTTCAAGCTGAAAAGTCTTCATGAGCCCCTGGATCGGCGGATATCTGCTCTGGAGAGTTTGAAACAAGGTGAAACTTCACAACATGCGGAAGCAGAAGAGTATAATGTTTCCTAACAGTGAAATTGGTTCCTTTCCTTTGATTCTCCTTTCGGACCTCTTATGATAAACAGATATTTGTAGCTGAAGTTTTGTGTACTTCTTTATGGGAATACTTCGCCAGTTGACATGATTTCCCTCGTTTATTTGGTTTTTCTTTAATGGATGGAACAGTGACTGCATTTTGAAATTGATTGAATTCAATTTGTGGTTAACTTGATGAATTGCTTTGTTATATCTTGCCTGTTATTTAGTTGTTAACTGATTAATTATACCATGATTATGGAAATATTACCGTTGTTTCTATCTATACATTTTCATAGCACAACAAAGAGGGCTGTTGCTTAAATAGTTTGTTCATTCTATGTTCTATTTCCTCTAAAATTGCTTGTTTAGCTATTCCAAAAGAGCCCCATCGAAGAACATGAGAACCTACCGACGACGGTAGCTGGAAAAATAATTTGGATCTGCAGCTTATTGTTTTACAATTTTGATTATGAAAATTAGTTGTGAAGGATTTAAAATAACACATTCCTTATTAGTAAGTAATTGAGAGAAGTGTTAAGCTCAATGGACTCTAATGTTCCAGAAATGTTTCTGTTGGATTACCATGTTGCTCTGGAACTGGAAATGACTGATGTTTTTCGAAACATCCCACTTTGTCCTTCTCTATTGTTGAACTCAAGGGCCTCTGCTTCGGTGCACTTTGGGACAGAAACCGAGCCTTAGCAGATAATGTAGCTGCGATGTAGTTTGGAATTCCTGCGGAAACACCAGCATTGTTACCACTCATTCTATGGTGTAAGACTCTGAGTTGGGCGTATGAGCTGGGGATGGGTGGCTCTTCTCTTCTTTAAGGTAGCGAGGGCTAGCTGAGTACATTTGGAGAGCTTCCTTTGTTTTCTGCAAAATGGCTGGAATCTCCTCCAGTGTTTTCGGGTGCTCGTCTCATTGTACCCATTCATCGACATTGCAGCTCTCTTCTCTACACCGCACCACAAGGCCATTTAGAAAAACAAAACATGTCATCTTTATGAAAGTAGTATTTCTTACTATGGACATTTTGTCGACAAGATGCGAGCAACGTGCTGTTGGGTCCTTGGGATCACTAAATACGGATTCTGTGCTTCCCTCATGCACAGAAAGCTTCTTGCGTTGATTGCACATGCGAGCTTAAACTCGAACCATGGCCTCCATGCATTGAAGCGTGATATTTGCTCGCTTTCGAACACTGTGGCCTTTCACCAAGGCTTGAAGCTTCACTAGCCCCTTTAGTGCCCTCCCATTATAAATCATGTGAATGTCGTAACTATTCCAGTTTCAATCTCAAAAGCTATTTGTCAAAACATTGTCAAATTATAACTAAAATTATTATCAATGTATAATTTTTTAAAATAAACAAATATCGTATTATATTAAAGCCCGTCGTAAAATAACATTCTCAATTATAAATGAAATGAGAATTACAAATCATTAGTGTAGACAATAATTTTTCAGTTCATTTTATTATTATTAATTATTAATTTATTATATTATTATTATTAAATAAAAAATAAATATTACAAACCCATTTTACAAGATCCCCGAGCCCATTTACAATTTGAAGCCCAACAGTGACCTAGAACCGGCCCAGACCAGATGGAAACCCTAAACCAATTTAGGGTTTCAGCTAGGGTTTTCAAACCCTAGCTCCCAGCCGTCGCTTCTAGAAGGCTCAAGCTGCCTCTCCAGCTTCCAGACGCTGCTGCCAACGCCTCCAGTGCCAGATGGTCCAATCAGTCGCTGTCGACGCTGCTTTTGCCATGCCACCTCGCCGCCGTAGATTCCAGAACACCAGATGGCAGCCCGAATCGAGCTCCATGGTGAGTCACGAGCATAGCTATGGTGACTCACCTAGACATCCCTCTCGGGACCGGTCCAAACGAGAGCCTCGGTGGTGGCTATAAAAGCCACCCCACCTGCAAGAAAGAAAGAAGACAGCCACAGAGAGCAACAGAGGACGACAACAAACAAAACAGAAAAAAAAAACAGAAAACGAAAGGAGGACAGCCAGCAAACAGGAGACAACAACATCAACAGCAAGCAATCCAACCACCATCAAACAACAAAATAACGAGATAAAAATCGAAAGAAACCTTACCGAGGAAAGCCACACCACCACCGGAGTAACCACGCGCCTCCACGCTCCACAACAAACCTTCGAAAACCGAAGGTATTTTTGAAGATTTGCTCCGATTGAGAGCTTTTTAAGGTAAACAAATACCAGAATCGTCATTAGGACGATCCGATCTACGTTATGATATAAAGTTTTATTTTCCGGCCACCGGAGGCGGTGGCCGGCGGTGAGGTTGACGGTGGCTATCGGCGCCGGAATTCCCTCCGGTGAGGGAATTAAGAGAGAAGGAAGAGAGAGCTTCTTCTCTCGTTTTTGAGAGAAGAAGAAGAAGAGAAGAATGAGCTGCTGGCCCTTCGGGCCAGCTATGAATGGGCTTAAATAGCCCTCCCCAAACGACGCCGTTTTGGGGAGGGATCTGTCCGTAATTAACAAAAAGATTAATCTCGTCCGCCATCCCTTTAATTTGTAATCTTTACCTTTTAGTCACTGAATCAAATTTTGATCCTTTTAATTTGGTCTCTACATTTTATTTATTTATATTTTAGCCATTAACCGTATATATATATATTTAGGTAAATATCAAATTTAGTCCCTCATGGTTTATTAATTATTATTTTAATACCGATTTTATATTTTTTAATTTATTTTAATTTATTATCCGAATTTTATATAGTTTTATTTTAGTCACTAAATTAATAAATAAGGAAAATAGCATGTTTAATCCCTGAAATTTTAAATAATTAATATTGAATTAGGTTTTTAATTTTAATTTTATTATAATTTAGTCACTAATTTTAAATATTTTCATTTATTTTACTGCTTTTAGATATATAGTTCTAATTGTATTTTTACTATTTTAATTTTACTTGTTTATATATTTAAATATTTTTTTTATTTTTTTTTTCCATAAATTATTTTAATATTTATTTTTCAATATCGAGGAAAAGGGCAGTCTTAATACAACTGGATGTCCTATTCTGGTATTTTAAATATTATATAAAATTATAATTTAATTTTATTTAAATTATTATATTAATAGTTATTAATATCGAAGAAAAGAGCTGTCTTAAGACACCTAGAAGTCCTTTTCTGATATTTCTAAATAAATAAACATTTTATTTATAAATATATATAAATTATTTTTTTCTCATAATTATAATTTTGAAATAATAGGATAATAAATTAAATATATTTTGAATTTTTAAATTTCTAATAATAGAGACAATTTATAATTAAAAAGTACCAATTTTTGGGCGTTGTAGGGGTGCTAATCCTTCCCTAAACGTAACCGACCACGAATCTCTTTTTATTATTAAAAAGAACGAATTTTTGGTTATAAACGCAGATCAGTTCATCTTTTAACTGATGTTTTCTTAAAAACTCTGTTAAAAGATAATTTTTAGGTATTCGACCTACCTAACCCAAAAGGCCGATGGCGACTCCCAAATTATTTTAAAAACCATTTATTTACATCAATTTCCCGCCAAGTATATTATTTCGTGCCCGGACGAAATCCGGTTACGACAGCTTGGCGACTCTGCTGGGGATTTGTCAAACTTTAAAATCAATTATAAATTGTCTCTATTAATTAGAAATTAAAAATTCATTTATTTAATTTTTAATTCTTTTCTTTCAAATTTTTATTATTTATTATTTTTATATTAATATTGCTTTTTTTATTCAGGTATTAATTATTTTATTTATCTGTTAGAGGTTTGAATATTTCTCCTCACACACAACACTTGCATTGCATAACATAAAGCTCTATAATTGAGCTTGTCCCTTTTAAGTGGGAGTGAAAGCGACGTCTTCGTGAGAATTTATTCTCCGTGTCAGACCTAGCAAGTAACTTTCGGGGTTCATATGCTCTATGTCTTCGTGAGAATTTATTCTCCGTGTTAGTCATAGAGAAATGTATCCCCTCGAATTGAACTCGGTCCGTTTAAGTCTGTAATGGACTAGGATTGAGGGTTGACAGCCCAAGGGGGCACTAACAAGGACAATTCGAGTACCCTTACTCCTAGAACTAAAACCCTACATGTAATAAAACTTAGAACTCCTCCTGATCTAAGACAGTACTGAACCTCTGTCCTTAGGTGTACACAAAGGAGAAATAAGTTTTAGCTTTTTTTTTTTTAATTTATTATTTTTTATGATTAAACGCATGCGAACTAGAAATCATGCGGTTAGGTTAATTTTTCCAAACAAAGCATGGAACTAGAAAGCATGAGGTTAGGATTTATTATATACCATGATAAATAAATTAACCATTTTATTCTTTTTTATTTTCCCATGTATGTTATTTTTGCTCTAATTTGTTTAAATTATTTTCTTCTGTTTGCATTGCATGATCATGGCATAACCAAAAGGTGTTGACTTGAAAGATTATTCATCAAATTAGAAAGAAATCGTAAATGGACAAAAAGTTTTATGATCAAACAAAATATGATGCGGCTAAGGAAAGGCATCCTGAAGAAACTACGAGGATCGAGGGAAGTTCTGCACACAGAGAACCGGTTATACCAAAAGTACTCCACAAAGATTCTGCCAGATTGATACCAAAAGCAGTCTATGGTAAGAGCATCAGTCAGGGCATTCAGAGTGGATGAGGCTTTTATGAAGCTCAAGCATGTTATTTGAAGGACTTGAACGACCAAAACAAGAAATTGAGCACATAAATAAAAACCATGCATGTAGATTTCCAGAAGATCAGTCAAACCTTTCAAAATGCTGGCCTAGGAAGCACCCCAGAAGAGTGGATCACAGGGGTCACCAAGCTGAAAAAGAGCTGCAACATATATGAAGATCTTGTTCAAGAACTTCTTGGACATAAAGGTTCTCTTACAAGGGAAAATGAGCAACTCCGAGAAGTGACACAGAAGATGAAGGAGAGTGTCATGAAAGAAGCTGCAGTCCAGACAAGCAATATGGCCCATAAGCTGATAATCTAACTTGGTTTTAGAGAAGAAAATGGGAAAGTTATTCCCTATATGTAAAGTTTTGTTGAAGTTAGGATTAAAAGTTGTCCCCTACATGTAAAAGTTTTGTTTGATGTACTGAAGCTTTTGTGTTCAATAAAATCTGTTCTAAGATGATCACTCTTAAGTA